TATATATATATATATATATATATATCATTTTACAGAAGACCAAGAAGCTATGATGAAAAAAAAGGCTACAGAATGGGGGTGATTACTGTCTTTAATTTTTATTCTTCTTCATACTATTAATTTTATTTTTTTAGAATGTAAAGTGATTAATGTCTTTACTTTGATTCAACCCCAGAGCCTCACAGAGTCACTGCAAGGGCTCTAAATGAATTGATTCCAGCTGCAGAGGTATTTCCTTTTGGCTTAGCTATCTGTTTTAGAGAGAAATTCATGTTATCAATTCTTTACACACATAACTATGCATATCGGCTACCTGATGGGTGCAGACAGTGAAAAGTTAGCCCATTATATTTTTATTTCTTCAACTTTATTTAACCTTCAAATGTGCAGAGGATTATTATTCTCAGATAATATTTGGAAAAGAGCTTGTAAATACACCTGCTAATATGCTTACCACAGGTTAGTAATCTTTCACACTTCCTGCATCTTTTTCCTATATCATTAATTTAACCATTTTTTGACACTTACTACTAGAGTTGGTTATTTTATCAAGCTTGAGTATAAATCATATTAAATAAAACCACATCATAGATAATTCAGAATGGAATGGACCATCATTCTAATTGTGGATAAGTGCCTGGCATATAATATTTCCAACTTTTAGGGTAGCACTGAGTACTGAAATTAGGGGCGTGATCTGAAGTCTTGCTATCAATGAATATAATTTAGTACAGGTTTATGTCAGTCAAAGGAAATTCCTTTTTTTTTTTCCCTTTAGACAACAAAATACGTGCTAAGTACACAGATATGATTACTGTTTCTGTTAGAGCCAAATATGATCGAAAAATCTCTTTACCCATTTAGAAAATATTGTCAAGAAATGAAATTATCTCCCACAGGAGTTTAAGAAAGAATATGGGATTGTAAACTGGAATGGGAAAAAGTAGATTTTCTGGGGCCTTGGATTTGTCCCATTTCTCCAATTCTATACCATTTCTCTTCTATTTTTCCTATCTTACAGTAGTTGCTGCAACTATGACTTCTTCCCCTTTTTTTCTAGGTATACTTTCACTAATAGCAATTACAGCCCTCTATGGTCTCTAAAAACATCTTCATTGCTTTGTATCTCCATGGTTTTTGTTTCTTTTGCATGTGCCATTAAATTAACAAAGTTTATGTATTTCCTCAATATGTTTTTCTTTAGGTTATAAGTGCTTCCGTTGTATACGAAAATCAAGTTTGATGATTATTTTGAGAAACTGTGTTTCACGTTGGAGTAGTATTAATTTAACTCTTATGGGAGAATCTAGAATTTGTGAAAATGTGACGGATTTTGGCATTTCAACTTATGAACAAATATCGAAATGAATAAGATCTTTTGCACTATCTATTAGATTAAGGCTATCAGATTAAAATTGATGGCAACTTTAGCTAGACATTTTTGAAAACTTGTGTTGGACATCATTTGGATATGCAGCTAATCAATGGAAGGTGTTTTACAAGTTACTTGACATGCTTTAAACTTTATCTATAGGGTGATTTCTAGTCTTGTTTAAAAATTAATGATTGGCTGAATTTTGTGCTTAAATTTAATTTTTCGGAGTTTGTTATGGTCCACATTAAGGTTGGCACATAAGATTGGAATTAACGTTGTTACTATTATTTATTTATCTTCGCCGTCAGTGTACAAGGGAATGGTTATGTAAGATATCATTTCTTTATTGATCTCATCATTGGTTTTTTTAATGCTCACATAGATGCAATCAAAAAGAAATTCGAAGCATGTGTCACTTGCTATTCTTCCTAGCTCAAGCAACGGAAGCCCATCTTGTCATGGGCAATGACAACACTCTAATCAATTACACATTACTGTCTCAAGACTTTCTACAGCTCAATTTGATGTAAACAAGATAATTTAATCTAGTGTTGAATTTACAATTCATCTTTTTGTGGTTAAATATTAGTCATTTAGGGTAATGTACCGACTATTAATACTTGAAATATGTGCAATACAATTTTACTTCTGCATCGACATGTTTCTTTTTAATTATTATTGCTTTCGATTATCAAAATTGTTAATTTCAACTTTGTGGTTTTTGAAAATTGAAATATTGAATAAAATAATAGTAGGAATAAAAATTATTGGCTATTAAAAAATTTATATCAATATTCACCGACCAAAGATTGGTTGCAAAATCTACTAGGTTTACTAACCACAATTTGGTTGCTGGATGTTCACTTCTAGCGACCACAGTATTAGTCACTAAAGACATTAACATTTACCAACCAAAGTTTGGTCGCTAACAATATATACATTATCGACCAATGATTGGTTGCAAAAGACATTCATGAGGATGAATCAACCAAGCGACCAATGGTTGTTTGCTGTATGTTGTATATTCAGCGACCACACTATATTGGTCGCTGAAAATCTACACAGACGGTTTATTACCGACCAACTAGCGACCATGTAATTGTGGTTGTGCGCTAAAGGTATTTACCTACCAAAAAATACCTGTTAACGACCAATTTTGTTGGTCATTGGACCCAATTTTTTTGTACTATTGCATCTCGTCTATAAATTAAATTTTGATATATTATTCAAAAAAATAATGATACTTGTACATAAGTAGCTACAAAATGATTTACATACAGATGAATTATCAAAAAGAGTAGGAAAGTTTTTTTTTTTTATTATTATTTTTTTTTATTGAAATTTTTTTTGAGGTAGTTATATCTCACCACATCATGAACATGTAACATATCTGCATTCAACGTTTGTGATGATAACAGTGAATCAAAACTTAAGATAAGAAATTGGCGTGATTATGACAGTATATTACAATATATTGGGACAGCCTATTATGGGTCACATTCGCTTCACATTGCATGAATGATTCCATGCAGTTTCGCTTTCCCTTTGGTACAAATTGACGTGCTTGCAAATTTTTAATATGCCCTTCATGAAATCTTAACTAACAAATAACGTTGTGACATCCCTTAATTTATTTTTTTAGACACATGGAAAGAAAAATAAAGTACGATAAATAAATAAATTATGGCTTCAGTCAAATTTTTTTAGACACGTATTGATAATTTGATACTTATATTGAGTATTGTTATCCTCTACAATTGCTAGTACAAATAAATGACTCGAATAAATGTATATATATATATATAAAAGAGTACTTGTCGAGGACGTTCGGTATCTTTAAATTCATTACAAAATATTGATCCATTCCATTGGACAAAAATGCATATAACTTATCACTTGTGATAAGTGTAGTATTTACACTTACTTATGGCCTTTAAATTTTATATTTTTGCGTCAAGAGTCTTTGTTCGTTCTAATTTGTGTTAATTCTATTTTATTTATTGGATGGACTTCAGGAGATGTTTTGGAGCCAGACAGAACGAAATTGGAGAGATTTGAGGTGCAATTGGAGATTCAAACAGTCACGGTCTTCATTGAGATTTGGAAAAAAGTTCGAAGACTCAATTGGAGGTTGAAAAGAAGCTCGGGAGCTGAAAGTACTATTTCAAGAGAAAAAGGAATTTAAGGAGGCTGGCCGTCCCCATAAATTGGGAAGGAGACCTCCCACCTACTTTGTAGCGTCCGATTTGGAATTTGAGATTAAACTTGAGAGAAAAATGCAATGTAAGGAATTAGGTTTTGAGGAATTCATTGAAGAATGAGATTTCAACCTTTGCACAAGATTGATATTACATTTTTTATCTCCTTTTTAAAAACTCTGTGATGTACTACTATTTCAATTTGTACTGTTCTTGTTTACTTACAATATTTTCGGCTAAATTCGTAGTAAGGTTGATCCATATAGCTTTAAGTCAAATCCTGAATTTTGATATTGATGACGTGGTTATTTATTATTAACGTGTATCATTTTATTGTTGTGTTTTATGCAATTATTTTTTCTGCTAATTACTAATTGATTTGTGAATTATCACGAGTCAAGATGTGAACTATTTGTTTAGATCAAATATTAAAATCGATCTTTATCTAGTTGATAGAGGAATACTTTTAAACATATGATGATAGTTATATGACTATTTGATAGATCATAATCAATTTACTTAATTATATAGATTCGAATTTTTACAAAAGAGGTTTTCAATTAGTTTTAATAATTTTAGTTGGAGTACACTATATGAATTGTTGCCTTGAAATTGTATGATAAATTAAGGGGAAGGATCGAGGTAAAATCGTGAGTAATAACATTTGTTTCCATTATTTAATCTCTAAAATTAAACTATCAATCTCCTCTTAGAAAAATGAAGCACCAACGCCTACAGATTGGTCCACTGCCGTGATCCTATGGCATCGTAGCGTCTCCGAAGCCACCCTTCATTCTACGACCTCGGTTCAGGTATATCTCTTTTACTCGTATTGCTGTTGAAGATGATATTTCAATTGACACCAACTTCACATTAAATTTTAATATCCATATATAAATAAGATGTTAATTTCGTGGACTAGGTCCAACCGTCTAAGAAAGTGACTAAATTTAAATTAAATTGATTGATTTGACAAATCAATTAAGTTTTAAAGAAATATATGTACATCAACATCTATTATATTAAAAGTGTGGATTGATTAGAAACTTTTGAATACCAATTTTACCCTTACTTATTTAGCTATATGTCAATTTAACCCTTTATATATAGTACCATTTAATATAATTTAATTTCACCTAATATTCATTTAAGTGTAATACTTATTGTTTTATATTGGAATATTTAAAATTTTACATTAATCAAATTAAGTTTAATTATTTAAATTAAATTATTTAAATTAAGTTTACCACTTAAAATCTAAGCTCACGTATAGATCTAATTTTATTATAATTCTATAACAAAATATATTATAGGTTGCATTAATATAATGATAGATTAATTATCATATAAAAAAAATATTTATTATATTTTTAATATGATTATATATGTAGACAAGCTTTGGTTTTAAGTGATTAAACTTAATTTAATTAATCTAAAATTATGAGTACTCCAATATGAAAAATGAACTCTATACTTAAAAAGAGACTACATGAAATTAATTTTAATTAATTTATCATTAGTACCCCCTTTAATATATTATAATATTATTTTATACATACATGTATATATATTATATTATTTATTATTTATATACGTGAGCTTCACTTAAAATCAACATTCCTCTACTTATATAATTATATTATAATTACAATATATATATATATATATATATATATATATATATATGTGTGTGTGTGTGTGTGTGTGTGTGTGTGTGTGTGTGTGTGTGTGCGCGCGCGCGCGCGCGTGTGTGGAAATAGATGAGAAATGTTCAATTTACCATTTTGTCCTTATATAGCATTGTCAATATTTTCATTCGAAAATTATAAATTTCATGTTTAATTAATTAATAGTTGATAGTTTAATTATTTAAATACAAAGGACAATAAATTGAAAAGAAAAATTGTCTAAATGTGATTAACAATTAGGATGGAAAGAATCAATGATGGGAGATATTATCATCAATCTTAAAAGTCTTACTAATTATTTTTAATAATTAGGAGTTACTTACACTTCCTATATTTTTATACACAATCTAAATACAAGTTTTGCATCTCAATTACACATTTTCATTAACTCCAATTTTTTAAATATTAATAAAAATTAATATTACGTGTTCTAGAAAATAATTAATATAGTATTGGGCATTTATTATTGTGTGTCCATTTTTGTATAAGCATAAAAATGATGGTGATCCTATTACTTATTAGATATAAATATATAAAGAAAAGAAAATGAAATTTATCTCGGTACATTTAAATGGAGAATTTTTATTCTTCCATTTGTATTAATCCCATTCAAAAGAAAAGGAAAAATTTTGTTTAAGATTTTTCACTTGGATATTTATTTTGAATGTAACTTAAGGGTTCTAATTTAAACTAAATGATATAGATTAATATGACGAGCATGATTAATATTTAATTTTTTATTTCTAAATATGTTTAGATAAGATATTTTTTATTTTTATTTTTTAGGTAAAAATGTTTATGATACAGATAAAATGAGTAATTTTTTAATTTGAAAATTATTTACGTACCTTTAGTTTACTTATATGTAAATATTTTAAACTTAATCAAATGTACATATTTTAATTTGATTTTTCTTCGTGTCTGTACGTGCCACAAAATTGGTCTTTATCGTCGTAATAGTTGAAAATAGGGGTCCAACCAAAGTCTAGCATAAACAAATCTTAGCATTTCAATTTATTCAACATTTTCACTTTATATACATAATTTTCATAAAACTTTTATACATATATATATATATATATATATATATATTCTTTAACAATTTAGTTTTTCCTTTTAACATTATCAATTGTCTTACTTTAAAAATATTAAGTATATTATTCATTCCGCACATATATAAGACGTGCAACACACGCGCTTACTACTAGTAGGAGACCAAAAATGAAATTAACCCTATATTATCAAGGATTTTGCTATTTGTTCCTGAAGTGTTACACTCCGGGTTACCCGCGCCCTCACATGGGAGTCGGGTCCCACGCCCAATAAGTGCATGGGACCCGCCCTTCATGTGAGGGGCAAGTAACCCGGAGTGTAACACTCCCGGTAACTGTAGCAAATTCATATTATCAATTTAGATTCTTACATTTTGGATGGATTCCAACTTCTCTTTTGTCTTGTTCAAGTGACTAACTTCCAGACTGATTAGGATCAACATCATACATATGGATGATAATCTACATTGTGGTCTTATCAAGTTTTTAGTTGGCCATGCACAGATCATAGACAGTGAAGCATATGTTGATCGTAACACGAATTGCAAGACCGCTGATCTTTCACCTCTATGATCCATCAGCAAGGTACTAGGGTCATAAAAAGAAGTAGAATTCTATGCTCGGGTCATTCTATATATTAAGAATGATTAAAATCCACCTTAATTTTAGTGGTGTATCGTATTGCATTATATAGAGCTTTACAAGATA